AGGAGTAGTAGTTTTGCATTGTGGACAAAATTACCTTAATTATTTGTCTTACATATTGGTAGTAGTTATTTTCTTATGGTATCCCCCAACAAATGTTAAATGCGGTCTGAATATAGCCGTTAAAAAATGTTGTTAGCCCTAAAAAAAATGTTGTTAGTTACAAGATATAAGTAAATATAGAAAATGAGCCTGTGTTCTCTAGTCTCCTTGACCAGTCCTCTTCACAATTGCTTTAATAGAGGTGGCGGCCGTCGAGGCTTTGGTACTCCCTCTGTTTCTTTTTAGTTTGCATATAAGATTTGGTCAAAGTCAAATTTTGTAAAGTTTGACTAACTTTATAGGGGAAAATATTAACATCTACAATACTAAAGCTATATGGTATGAAAATTAGTTTTATGATGCATCTAACGATATTGATTTCATATTGTGAATCTTGATATTTTTGTCTATAAACTTAGTCAAAGTTAACACAGTTTGACTTTGACCAAATCTTATATGCAGACTAAAAAAGAAACGGAGGAAGTATCTGCTAATGATGTGATTGACGAAATGATGCCATTCTGACATATTCTTTTCATGTAGAGATGAGGAGAGCTGAAAGCCAGAACCATCTTCCGATCCACTGATTGTAACCAATACTATAAGAGCACATGTGCCGAAGCATATTTTCAACATTTTTCTCTTTAAGAAGATACCTAACCCTTCCTGGTTTTTCTTCCTGTTTTCTTGCATTTCCAGAACCTAGCAAACCGGCCTAACTGCATTATTGACCCGTCAGCCCTGAATTAAGTGCAGCCCTGGAGTCTTCAGTGGAAAACTTCAAGAGATGTCTCAGGAGAATATTCATAGTGGCAGCTCTTGGATCAGCAACAAATTAAACGGCATGTCCCGATTATAGTGACATAGGATAGTTTTTCATTAATGTGGACAAAATTAGCATTTATTTGTCACGGATACTGCTAACCCCAACAAATGTTAGATGCGATTAGAGTGTTGCGAGAAGATTTTTTTCTTCTGAATAATCATATGATCACTCGGAACATAGCCGTTAATAATACGTTATCAATTACAAGATATTATCAAAAATTTAGAAGAAGGAACATGAAAATTAGCTTCTCTTCGCTAGTCCGTCGCTGCCGGAGATGCTCCTGGATCATCTTTGTTGGTAGCTAGCTAGCTAGCGAGTCCCTTCACATGGAAGCAACTTCCTTTTGTTACCGTCTACTCAGAGCATCTCCAATAGCATGTGTATATTTGAATGTCTATATATTCATATAGACAATGGTCTAAAAAGATCCTCTTATATACACGTCCAGTTTTGCATCAGAATGTCTATATACAGGGACCATGACAGGTGGGCCGTCGCTGGGGAGAGGAAGAAATCATGACTGCAGCTGAGTTTAGACAACGCCTTCACATTGTCCAGGCGTGGACATTGTCGAGGTCGATACAGAGGATGTGTATATTTGAACGACCATATAGACAAGCTGTTGGACGCCTGTTTTGGGGTCACGTCGTGAAAAACGAGTATAGACATCCATATAGACAAGCTATTGGAGATGCTCTGATACTGGCACTGACCATTCATTGCATTTTGGTGCTTCTGATAGTCTTGCTATTTCCTTCACCGGTCATTTTCACAGTTGCTTCAGTCTCAGTGGTGGCCCGAGGCCCTGGCATCTGATAATGATACGATTGGCGCGAAACCATGCAATTCTGACAGATTCGTTTCACAATTGCTTGCAGTTCCATGATTGATTGTAACAAGCACATGTGCCCAAGCATATTGTCAGAATTTTTTTCTTTAAGCAGAGACCTAACTTTTCCACCACGTTTCTTTGCATTTTCAGAGCCCAGCTGGACCACTGATCTTCAATGCTGAACCTGATTAAGGGCCAGTTCTTTTCAGCGATTCTCTCAGAATCGCCCCCCTCCCCAGCTTCTCCCAGAATCGCCATTTTATATTTTTTTTACAATCCTATCTAGTTAAGGTCTAATTAGCTAGGATTGTAAAAAACGTATGGAGTGGTGATTCTGGGAGAAGCTGGAGAGAGGGACGATTTTGGTAGAATCGCCCAAAAAAACTGGCCCTAAGTGTCCAGCCCTGCAGGCTGCAGTCTTCAGTGCAAAACTTCAAGAGCATATCTTAGGAGAATATTCATGTGACGAGCTCCTCGGCACTGCATTCTGTTTACCCCTATTCCTCCTGTGATTGTCAGTGTATTCTCTGCATCTTTACTGCAATCACTCACAGAAATTTGTATTCTCTTCTCCTGGATTGGAACCTCTGCTGCACATTTATCTCTGACACGTCGAATGGTTAATACTAGTAGTACTAGTATTCTCCGAAGATATCTCTTGAAGTTTTGTCTACATTAATGAAATTAGTCTGAGTTAGTCCTTAGCATTGTCCTAAGATATCTCTGACACGTTGAAAGGTTAGTACACGTCGAATTGTCAGTTTATTCTCTGAACATTAACAAAAAAGTACGTGAGTTAACCAGGCCGTGCTCGGTTGAACACGTTGAATGACCACGTCATCTCTAACATGCCGGGCCCACGAGTCAGAAACATTGTCAAAAGGGACGCTGCTTCCGTGTCGTAACTGCATCTGCAGTTGGATCAGTGACATCTGGGCCTAGGCCCACATGTCACTGACCCAACTGCAGGTGCTGTTACGCACTGAAGCTCAGTACTGTCAAAAGATGGTGAGAGGGCAATTGGTGCTTTTTTAATGTAACTTGGCTAGAGAGTGGTGGATTTTTGAAAAAAAAAGTGGCAAAATTGGTAGTAATGTTGATGGCCGTCCCTGATTGTGGCGGTTTTGAGGAATTTATTTATATAAAATATGTGTGTTTGTAATAGGATAGTTCCCCATTAATATAGAGGAATCTACCTTAATCATTCATCGTGAATATTGGTAATGGTTCTAAATCAACATTTCTATATTATTTCCCAACAAATGTTAGTGTGATCAGGGTTTAGCAAAAAGACGACTGTGCTGCATAAATATATGGTGAAGTACAGCCATTAGAAATGTGGTGTTAGTTATTAGTACAAAGTGAGCATAAAAATATAGAATTTGGCTTGTCTTCTTCCAGTCTACTTGGTTGGTAGCCCATCCCTTCACGTGGAAGCAACTCCCATTCGTTGCATTTGGTGATAGCCTTGCTAGTATTTCCTTCACCAGTCCTCCTCACAATTGCTTCAGTGGCAATGGTGGCCCTCAATGCCTTGGCATCTGCTAATGATGCGATTGGCGAAACCATGAAACTCTGACAGATTCTTTTCCTGTGGACACGAGGAGAGCTGAAAGCCAGAAAGAAACAGCTTCCACTCCACCCATGATTGATTGCAACAAGCACTTGTCAACATTTTTTCTCTGAAATTAGATATCTAACCTAACCTAACTGGCCAAACTACACCATTGACCTGATTAACTGCTGCCCTGAAGCAGCTTGTAGGTTAGAGCAACTTCAATGGGACGACCCATTTTGTCCGCATGTATCTGTTTGGATCGGTATGGACAAAAGTGGCGGCCCAAATCCAAATCACGTCCGCTTCGCGTCTGCGTCGACGCATTTGCGGCCCAAATTTACGTCCCAAATGCATCGGCGCGTACGCGGAACGGACGCCACGCGCGCCTTCTCGGCGTCCGTCTCGTCCCCACCTGACGGTCGTCTAACTACCCGTTGCCCACGCGATCAGCTTAATTTATAACCACGGGCCCACGCGTCAGCGACGGCGGTCGTTCTTTTTTAAGCCAACCGTGTGGCGGGGCCGTCCTCATCCAAACTCGCGTCCACATCTAGCCAACTCTGCTTCCCTTTCACTGGCAAACCCTAGCCGCCACCACCACAGCGAGATGGGGCTCTTCTCCGGCGTCGGCAGCAGCAAGGCCAAGGGCAAGGCCCCCCGCCGTCCCTTTCCCATCGGAGCTCCTCCCGCCTCCGCCAGCACCGGCTCGCCGGCAGAGGCAGCGCGTGAACATGCCAGTGCACCAGCGCGGAGTGGCACTGGCAGCATCGCGTGCCTCTGCCGTACCCCGACGTCACCCTGCCGCGCGATTGGCATCTAGATCCAGAGAGGATCCCAGTGCCGGCGGCACCGCAGTCGGCTAGGGCGCACGCGGAGGAGGTGCGGCGCCGACGGGCGCTGCTGACACCGGAGCAGCGTCGCGACGACACCTACGCCATCGACTCGTCGAACTGGAAGCGGTGGTCGCCTTCGAGCACGAGGAGGCGAGGCGCCGCGGCGTGCCCCCGCCCCCGCTCGCTGTCCGCGAGAAGGACCAAGCGGCGGAGGACGCCTACCAGGCGGCCCTTGCGGCGGTCTACCGCGAGAGCGAGGAGGACGAGCGACGTAGGAGGGAGGCGGCGGAGAAAGAGGAGGCCCGGTACGAGGCGGCCATGGCGCAGGCCATTGCCCTCTCCGCGGCCGGTGACTGCATGGTGCCGCCTGTGGCCCCGCCATCCCCTCCCCGACGCCGCGTCAAGGCCGACCCGGAGCCGCAGTCGGAGCCGTCCCCGATCGAGCGCTACTCCCGAAGTCGGCCCGTTGGAGTTGCTCTTACAGTCACCAAAACAAAAAAACTCAAGAGGATATTTAACAAGAATTTTCATGTGACCACCACTGTTTCCCGTGTGATTGTCAGGTTATTCTCTGAATCTTTACTGCAATCTGTTCCCCGTGTGTGATTGTCCGCCACTGTTCTGAACATTCAGAAAAAGCAGAGCCATGACAGCCATAAACAACAGGAAGACACGCACGCACACGACAGCGACCGACGGACAGAGAGCTGGAGGGAGCGAGCGAGCGAGCGAGCTCATCTGCCAACCACCACCAGCGACCAACAATTTGGATTGATCGGTGAGGTGCGTGAGTTTGGTGGATCTGAATCGCTAAAGCTCCCATCTTTCCCCCACTCCCCCTCCACCACCGCCGGCAAGAAGAGCAGGGGAGGAGCACGCGGGGATCTCGAGTCGAGCTCCCTCCCTCCCATGGCCACCAGGGTCCTCGACACGCTCGCCGTCGCGGCGGAGGACGGCTGCGGGGGCAGCGGCGCCGCGCTGCCGCTCACCTTCTTCGACGTGCCCTGGATCTTCACCGGCCCCGTGGAGCGCGTCTTCTTCTACCCCTACCCGCACCCGCCCGAGCAGTTCCGGGCCGCCCTCCTGCCGCGCCTCGTCTCCTCCCTCTCCGCCGCGCTGGGCAAGTTCTACCCTCTCCTCGGCCGCGTCCGCCCCTGCCCGGACGGCGGCGGGTACGAGTTCTTCTTGCCCGCGGGAGGAGGGGGTGGCGGTGACACCGTCGAGCTCACCGTCGCCGAGAGCGAGGATGATTTCGACGAGCTCTCCGGCGACGGTCCCCGGGACGTCGCCCGGCTCTACTCGCTCGTGCCGCGGCTTCCGGTGGTTGAGGGGAGCGGGGACGGCGGGTTCGCGCTCGCCGCGGTCCAGGTGACCGTGTTCGCCGGGCGCGGGGTCGCCCTCGGCGTGTCCATCCACCACGTCGCCTGCGATGACTCGAGCTACATGCATTTCGTCAAGACCTGGGCCGGCCACTGCCGGTTGGCTTCCGGTGGGGAGGACGCCGGCACCGCGCTGCCGCCCCCGCCGTTCCTGGACCGCGCGGTCATCGCGGACCCCCGAGGGCTTGCCGCCAGGACGCTCGACGAAATGCGGCAGCTGGCGGCCAACGGGCCTCCTCCTCCACCCCCGGCGCCGGTAGGCCCGCCGCCCAAGCTGGTCATCCGGTCGTTCACGCTGGCCCGCGGCTGCATCGACAAGCTGAAGCAGCGCGTGGCCGCCGACGCCAAGGACGCGTCAACCCACTGCTCGGCGTTCACGGTGGCGTGCGCGTTCGCGTGGGCCTGCCTGGCGCGCTCCTGCTCCGCCGACGCCCCCTCCCCCGCCTCCGACGAGCGCGCGCACCTGCTCTTCTCGGTGGAGTGCCGGCGCCGCCTGTCCCCGCCGGTGCCGCAGGAGTACCTGGGCAACTGCCTGCGGCCCTGCTTCGTGGAGGTGAGCACTCGCGACCTGCTTGGCGCGGACGGGGTGACCACGGCCGCCGCGGCGATCGGCGCGGCCATCCGGGCGCTGGACGGGGACGGCGTGCTGGCGGGCGCCGAGGGGTGGTTCGAGAAGATCCTGTCGCTGGTGCCGCGGCGGCCCATGTCCGTGGGCGGCTCGCCGCGGTACGGCGTGTACGACACCGACTTCGGGCTGGGGCGGCCGAGCAAGGTGGAGCTGGTGTCCATCGACAAGACCCCCGGCACGGTGTCGCTGGCCGAGGGCACCGACGGGCAGCGCGGGATCGAGGTCGGCGTGGCGCTGCCGGAGGCCGACATGGCGCGGTTCGCCGCGTGCTTCTCCGACGGCCTGCGCCAGCTATGAGAAGAGAGGAGATCCTGCTGGCGGTCAGTGCAAGACCAAAAAGGAGAATTGCAAAATTGCAATGGCTCGTATATTGTTATTATCTCTACTCCTAATAGTCGAGTTGGTTGAATAGTCCCGGTTTATTTTCGTCCGGTTTATTTTCGTCTCACCTCCCACCACCCCTCCCATGCTAAAACCGAATCGCGTCTGATACTCCTTCCATTTATTCGTAATGTATTTATGTGAAAAAATTAATTATGATTAATCTCTAATCAATCTATGAAAAATCAAATCTAAATTAATCAACTATACCATAAGTTACTCAATCACATTAATTAATATTTCCATACGTCTCAAAAATTACTTTAATTAACGTCTCCATACCTTGCCCAAAATATTAATTAATGTGATTGAGGAACTTATGATATAGTTGATTAATTTAGATTTGATTTTTCAAAGATTGATTAGAGATTCTTCGGTACACACGTAAAAAGGGAAGAAAAAAAAGGAAAACAAACCAGGAAAAGGAAACATATGCATGGACGTCAATCCCCTTCATCTCTCCCGCTCTCTTTCCTTTACTAGGATGTAGCCGCCGATTTTCTCCCTTGCTCATGTTCTCCTTAAAGAGGTGGACATTGAGACTTGAGAGGCAACGAGCATGGTAGGCCTTAGATCGCGGATCCTCCTGACCTTGCAGTCCTTCTCCGATGTCGTCCCTGCATAATCCAACGCCCTCCTCCTCCCAGTGCCGCGTGCCGCACCTGCGTCATTGGAGGTTGTGTGCGAGCTGGCCGCCGTCCCCGAGTATCTTCAACAGGTTGTCTGCTGCTCCCAGATAACACAATTCGTGGAAGAGTTACAGAGAAGCGAGGGTTGGGGAGAACTGGCGTCGCGCCGTCGCTGATCTGCTGGATGACATGCACCACGGCCATGCCATCGAGCCACCATCGCCGCTCCTTCCAGTAGGCAATGAGGTTTTGTCGAGGGCAGGAGTAACAGTTGTGCGTGCTTGCTTGCTGTTATTCTCGAGGTGGATAGGTCATGCCTGAGCCCTCCTCCACGCATGGCGCAGCTTCCTCCGATCTCGCCCGTCCTCGAATCCCTGCTGGCAGGTGATGCTACTTCCTTACCTCAACGAGTCAAAACTGAAGGCATCCACTTTTTGTGGTAAGAACCGATCTCATGTACTGCCATTTTTTATAAGTTTCTTGATGCAAATCATAGCAAGAATATTGTGTTCTTCCTATTTGTTTGATTAGTTCCAAAACAGAAGCAATTCTATCGTGACGATTTCAAATGTTTCTTGTAGAAATTTAGCATAGTACTAAAGCAACTGAATTATCATTTTATCACAACCGCTGGCTAATTCTGAAATAAAAGCAATGGTGAATTTTTTTCGTTAAACTGTAATCGATAAAACGCCATTTTGTATATTATTCAACTATTGGGTATGCTAATCTTTGGGTTCATTGGATGTGAATAATGGACCTGGTTTGATTGGTGCTTGTACAATTACGTAATAGGAGTAGCAGCATTATACATCTTTCGAGTTACAGTATGTTTACCAGTGGGAATTGCGGCTATGGATGTTTCACAATTGTGTGTACTGCAGGTGTACGTGGATTAGGAAAACAGTGTGAGCCAATGGATTTTTCCATGTCCTCCTCTACGGCAAGCCCTTGAGTGTATTTTATTTATATCTCAAGAACATGACAGTTTCAAGAATATATACGAGTCAGCTATCTTGTGCCCTTTTGTCCATTTTTACTTAAATACTATGAGGCGACTACTTATTGTTATTCTTGCCATTGAAGATCTAGGTTAAAAGAAAATTAATGAACCTGAAATATCGGCAAAACAACAAGTATTGTTAACCAAGGAAAATAAGTCATGATAAAGACAAGATACGTTTTGACCAGAAAAGCCCGTGCTCGATTATTTCGAGCACAGGCTTCTTCGGTAAAGACTCGATTTTTTTAATCGATGTATATCTAATTCTAAGTCTTCTTTGACATGTACATGATGAAAGAAAAGTACTATTTAGACAGAAATTGGTGTGTCTAATGCCTGTGCCAAGTGTTGTCGAGGAAGATAGTAAACTCATTGAGGATGATCATTGGGGTTATTGCGAAGCTGACTGTTTGGTGGAGTAGTCTCGCGACATGGAGGACAAGCCATGAGACATGAAATAACTGGTAAACTGAAGGATTCCCCGCGCATTGCAGCGGGAAATTTAACAATGACTTGGAAAGATATGATTCTTTTGGGAAATTGTATTGTCTGATAGTTGCTCCGAGTGACACATTTCAAAGCACAAGAGTCAAATTGTGGCATCTTCTCAATTCAGCCTGATGAAAGTGAAACTGCAGCGTACATTTATATCTCATTTAGGGGATTTAAGAATTACATTGTGACTTCCACTAAGGAGGGCAGTTGTTTCCAAGTAGGCTACAATGCGACTTAGAATAGAACAACACAATAATTAACCGAGGATAATGAAAGGAAGTTACCTGGTAATTTCCCCGATCAATTCATACAAAAAGTGTAGTCTAAATCATGCAAAACAAAATAAACGCCAGTTTTCAGAAAATCAAGGCATATAAAATTTATAAGTCCCATGATAAAGGCCATAATAAAATAGTAGAATCTGAATGTGTAACACACCACTTCGAGAGATAAATGCACATGAAAAGGAGATTTATATCTCATGAGCCCAAAAAAAGACTAAATTTGACACCCTTGTCTCCGAATATCACATACCTGCACGAAATAGGTCAGGCAGAGAAAGGTTAGAGGAAACAATCGAATTATGAGCCAACAAATACAGTAAGCTGCATTGCTATAATACCACTTGACTTGTTGTACATCCAAAAATTGGAAAATTGAGAAATAGAAATGGGTCAGTACATTTGGAGAGATATCTTGGTCTATCTTATTTCTTTGTTTGACACTAATAGCAATATTCCTACAATCAGAAAATGGAGAAATAAACATAGGTTAATGCTGATAAATTTTACTTTCTTAGTGGGCATGACGATGAGCTTAACAAGTAAGTACATAATAAAGATAATAGGTGCAGGATAAGCATAATATAACATGAGAGGACTGAACTAAAAGTAATTGCTTAAAACTCAAAAGCAGAAACGAGTAAGCCAAAAATTAATTAAGAAGAGAACGATAAAAAAACATTTGGAGTTGTTGAATTGGTACTATAAGCCATGATATTTTTTAGCGCTCATCCTTGTAAGGAATGAAGTGAACGATCATCCATGATTGGGTGCGGATCTGCTGGAGAAAATGAAGTGGGGAAGGAAGTGAATCGCGGTGAGATGGTTGTGCCTCGCGAGGTAGATTTTTCCCATGGGAGAAAGATTGGTCGTTATGTTTTTTAGGGTTGGAAAGGAAATGGTCCATTGCAAACGGGAGTGGTGATGTGGCAACTATGCTGAGGTGGACATGGTGCATGTTAAGATAAATAAAAAGTGGGGATGAGTCTCATAGGTATACTAGATTTGTACAATCACTTCCATTTTTTTGTCCCATCAAGTCAAACAAAGAAACAAGATAGACCAAGATCAAATTCACTACTTACGTTGAATGAAGGAACAATACGTCGTGCACTCGCATTAGACAGATTGAACTAGAAAGGATAACTGGATCTGTACAATCACTTTCGTTTTTTCTAGGAACATTGGATGTAATTGATTTGATAAAGAAAATGACAAGGGACTATTCTATGATTGATGTATGGTAAATTTGCGATGAAGTATGTGTCTGAATCAAGTATAATCCGCTTAATCTTTGATTTATCGGTTTTGCTAAATCTCATGGGCTTGAATTATTTTGTTGCGTGAGCAACTTTCTGCTTTGCACGAGGCCGAAGATGTGGACGACATGAGGAGCGCCGACCACGGCAAGGGCGACCCGGTGATAGTTGGCGGGAGTGGTTGGATGCAGACGGTTAGGCCTGGGTAGGCACGACAGAGGAGAAATCGTCGCAGGTGAGGAGTAAGAAGATGAACATGTGGGGGCGTGCTCCTAACCATTGGATATTTGATGGCAAAAAATAGTGATTGACACGAAGAATTTTTCAGGCATCTAACGTTAGGTGCCCCTTTAATTTATTTACAATCATTTGCCCGTAGCAACGCACGGGCATTTAACTAGTAAAATGTATATTGAAGAGAACCCGATACTAAAAATAAATTGAGGCTCATGTTAACGGGATTAATTATTTGTAGTAAGTGAGAGGAGAAGCAAGGGATCAAGCGAGAACAGGCGCATGATTATCGGGTCAGTGCCAAAACTCAAAAGGGTTTGGTTGGAAACGTCTCCCACCAATTGTTGACACACGAACACGTCATGTGTACCCTCGACGCCGGGGGTGATGCACCGCAGCTCACGTCGAAGGAGACCCGACCGACAGCGCGATACGCAAGACAGTCGACGGGCGCTTTTGCAGACCCAAAAACCCCACACCCCCGGGAGGGACCCCGTCAGGGAGTGCGGCGGCTATGGGCTGCCCTAGGTCGATTCGCTCGCCCCTAGAGCCTCGGGATTCGCAACTCTCAAACACGAAGAACGGCGAAGAACGAGATAGAAAAACGGTGGAGAGATAAAACGTAGATGAAAAGTAGTATATTGATTTGTTCGATTGTGTGTCGTTCAATCGGCTGTCACCCCCAACATATATAAGAGGCGGTTGGACTTCCTGTACAAGTAAAGGATTCATCTAGGCTTTCCTTACAAGAAAAATTATATCAATTCACGTCCTAGAGTCCTAATTCTATTCCAACTCGGATTCAGTCTGAATCTGGCCCAAACTCTGTCTTCCTTCTTGCGCGGGCCGCCGGGCTTGCATATGATCTCCGATCGAGACGGCCCAAATACCAAACTTGTGCGCCTCGACGATACGAACAACTCTCATGTTGATCATTTTTTCAAATAAGGCCATCTTGAATACTTTTCAAAGTCATCTTTATCTTCCAGTCGGACTCGGTTTTGCAGTAGACTGG